GCTGCTAAGGGGCGAATGGGCCAAATGCTGAAGTGCCTGAATATGCTAGGATCTGAAAAAAATTTGTAAATCTAGGCCTGATTGTTTAGATGGATGAGTCAAAATACCATGTCTTGAATTCAGTATTCAATGGGAAAAAAGCAACCATTTCAAAGTGTAGAAAATATGAAAGCTTATTCTCAATACCTGCAAATGCAAAATCTGGATGTTTTGGCAGCATCTTCATCTTGTGTTAGAACCAGGAAAAAAAAGAAAAAAAAAATAGGCAAACTAAAGCAAAAGAATTTATTGCTTTTTAAGAAGAAATGTCAAAATTATTTGTGTGAATGTCTGTTTAAAAAACTATTTCAACTTTTCTGTCTTATTTTCTGTTATTTTTTACTTGAAGCGGAACTGATTGAGACCAAATGCTGAAGTAGAAGAATACTGGGTCACTATGTTTCATCAGCATGTAAGGTTTTACTAGAATTACTTACAAGTAGGGGTAATGAACAATTTGTCCTGGATGTGGGCCTTCCAGGAGTTTGGAGCATCTGCCCTTGGAAGCCTTCTCTTGAGCCAGAATAGCATAGCTCACGTAACTGTTATCTCATTAAGTTTAACTTGGTTTGGGTTTTCTGGCTGTGAATGTTGCTTTAAAATTTTGTCTTCTCTTTACTTTCTTAACACTGTGTATGGTAGTCTTGGAATTAGATTAACGGTTTGCAAGACTGTTCTTCCTCATGACTAGTGAATCTTCCTATAGGACTTATTTTGGGCTGAAAAATGGGAGGGTTGTATTTGTTCTGCTTTGGGTTTATTTTTTGCCCTTTACTATCTGAATGAAGCTATGACTGTATCCTTACAACCTGTGTTTTCGTATGCAAATCAGAATAGTCCCATGCTCTTCAGTTGCTAGCTTAAACTTTCTTGCTGAAGTGAAGCCTAGAGTCCAGTCTCTCCCTGTGTCTCCTTTCCATCCAGTGGACAGCTATTCACTGGGTTCTCCTTAATTCTTCACATCTGTCTCTTCAATAGCTTCATTTTCTTCCCGAAACACACGATCTGATAACCACGAGATTTTAGGGTTTCTTTCTGCCACCTTTCTCATGATGTTGCAACAGCCTCTGCTGATGGCAAATTCCACCTTTATCCTGATCTTGTTCACATTTGTTACTTACCCACAGCTTGATTATCCATATATATATAATACTGCAGATGTTCTTTACTTGGCTTCTTGCTTCAGTTACATCACTCCCAAACTGTACATTGCATGAGACATTTTATGTTTAAAAAAAATTCTCTGTAACTCCTTGCGTCTGTAGCCTCCTGCTGACATGCCATATTTTTACACTCTTTTATGCTCTTATATGTATGTTACACTCTGGTTGGGGCAGGTGAGTGCTTTTATGATAGCATCCAGTACAGCTATTAAAATTAACAGTGAAAGTGGTAACCACTGGTTTTGTGCTATGCTGATAATTGTATATTACAGTATGCAGAAGACACAAAAATTCAGACCTGCTAATTGGTGCTTCAAAGATGTATTTTGGAAGTGACAGGGAGAAAGAAATCTGGAAGGAGGGGAAGATTCTGTGTTTCTTTTGAGGTGATTGGATGCAATGAGTACCAAGAAAATAGCTCCTTTTTATTTTGCATTTGCATATAAGTAGTTGCTGTCTTGAGACCATGTAGCTCTGAATTCAGCTAGAAAAGCCAAAAGCTAATGTTTTGGCATTCTTCACATTTCTCTTCTGCAAGAGAAAGCCTAACTTTAGACATCCAACTTTCTCAGTGTGGAATTAAGATGTAATTGTAAAATTGTGCAGCACCCAGCAGTTCTGATTTGATTTTAGGAAGCATTGAGTTTGCTAAGTCTTCTGCTAAATAGACAGATGTGAACTTCTGAGCATACTCATTTGTGTTCTTGAATAAGTAACTTTGAAAATTAGCACCGAAGAGCTGTTATGGTCAGGAAAAGTGTTCCCAACCTTCAAGTTTATATTGGAGAGGACAGGCTCTTTTGTCTGCTTTTCACTCTTGACTGGTAGTGCTCCTGATTCTTTGTGTTGTCATAACAGTGCACAGGAAGACCTGTGCTTTGTTAGTGCAAGAATATCCACAGAGAGCATAGCATAAATTATGAAAGCTCTGTTTTAAGAGAAAACTTAAAATGAATCAAATAATTTCCAAAAATGTTTTTTCCTCAAGGTTATCTAACTTTCTTGCATCAGCAAATACTGAAGGCTCTTAATCTTCATGGAGGAAAGGCTGAAATCAGTAAAAGTGCTGATTTAGGATTTCAGGCAAAGCATATTTGCTAAAATTTTATGGTGTTTCAGTTACAACAGACAAGCACAGTTTCCAGGCTGCAAAACAAACAACATTTATTGGACCTTATGTTAGCCATAGATTAGCCATTTGTGTTGCTCAAGCATGAATATCACAGTCTGAGTAAATATCTAAGGGTGTAGAGTGGACAAGAAGCAGTGAGCAGTCACTAGCGATCCATAGGTACCAACATCAAAGATGAGGATCATGGGCTGTGAAGCTATGGAAGAAGATTCAGTAGGAATCCAGAATACAAGGAAACAACTGAGAAGGAAACAGCAGATAAATAATGGCAGCTAACTTGGGTTGTAGCAAGATCTGGAGACAGGCTGCTGGAGAAGGAGGTTGTTCTAAAGATGTATAATGTTATACCATGTTAGTAAGCAGATGGTTAAATTGAAGGTTGGTAAGTATCTAGTACCTTTTGAGTTGCCTCCAAGCATAGTTTTTATTTAAATTACATTTTTTTTTTTAAATAAGTTTTGGAGCAGAGTAAAGACTGTGGATACAAAATGAATTCCTTGTGTGTAACCTTCTAACTATGTGCTACACCATGATACTTAAAGTTTCTTTTTGACATAAAAATTGCAGTCCACTTAGTAAATAAAATGGATTACTTATGGTAACTGTGACTAGTATGACAACCTAAATCTTTTCTGGAGCTATTTCAGAGGATGTCCAGTGGCTTTTAAAAATCCCATTAAAAGATTTTGTTTGCAGATGGTACAGAGAGGATAAAAAACCCCTAAGAAAACAAACCAACCACGCTATGCAGTATATCCTACTGCTCCCCCTTTTGTGAAGGGCAGCTTATTCTTAAAGTGCAGCTATAGCTGAAATTTATCTCTGCTGTAAGTAAAGAAAAGTAAACCTCTAAAGAATTCAGAGTTCTTGGAGTGGATTTAGGAATAGGAAGCATGAAGCTTTACATATTTTATGCAATTATTATTATGCTAATAATAACAATATAAATGTCACAATCTTATTGTAAATGTTAAGTTTGATTAGTGTGTTAGTTTTAAGTGTGAACCACCAAGATCGTAAGACAGTTTTGTTGAATGAGTGTAGTAGTGCATAATGTGACCTTTTAGCACCTCTCACTGCTGATTATTGGGTGAAATGAAAATTTGACTGTTCAGGACTCTGAGTGAATATGCACAATTTGAATTAAAAATATAAATATACTATCTTCAAGTGGAACTTCCTTAATGCAAGATTGCAAAAGTAGCATGGAATTCATTAATGTTTAGACTACTTAGAAAATTTTACTTTTTAAAGCATGGTGCATGCAGGATTTAATTTATATTCTACCCTGTTTGTAGTTTTCTAATGTCAGTATTTGAAAAGGTTGCATTGTGCTTGTGAATTAACAAAAATGGAAGTCATGAATAGCAGAAAAACACCTTTCTAATATCACATGAGTTATATGCAATAGCTTTTTTTGATAAAAATCTACAAAAATACATACTGGAGATAAAAGCTGTTGACATTTCATCCAACTATTCTTTTTTAATTCAGTACTGACATTTGCTACCATGTCAACAAAGTCTGGAAGATGCTTCTGAGTCTTGAGAGGAAAAAGAAAGTCAAAATTTGAATAAGTTACTCCTTTTGCTCTGTCTCTGAAAAGAGCTGTTCTGTATTCTCCCTACATCAATTGCATTTTCTTCTTCAAGTATGAAAACATTGTGTACATTTTTGGGGTCTTAGACATATGTGAACAGTTAGCACTTGGGAACTAATTGCAAAAGCTTGTCTGTGTAACTTTGTATTTTTAAAAGTAGCTATAATGAATATCTTTGTTACAATACCTATGTTTGGTATGGTGGTTAGTTTTGTGCTACAGTCAGTGCCTGTTCTTTTCTTAAAATAATTAATTGTTTTAAAAACATTTTACTTAGATGGCAAAATTACTATTTTTCACAGATGTTAATTATCTTAGCAGTGTATACACAGTTAAGAAATTTTACCTCATGAGCAGTAAACTACTTGAATTGCTTACAACTGCTTCTTTATATTTTGCAATAGAGCCTCCATTATTGAGTATTTCAACCTTTAAGTACATGGCTTTTCTTTCTGGCACCTGGCAATACTGACTAGGGATTTCTCTGCTGAAATGTTACGCTCATCTGCCTCTTGGCAGGTAGAGAACTGTTCCTTTAACAGCAATTTATTGCCTCCTTTCTATGTGTACTGTACTTCTTCAATCTGCCAATAGTGTTTTAAAATTTAGGAGCTTTGAAGAGTTTAACCTTTTATCCTCTTGGAAAGCAGGTTACTGGAAGGTAGCTGTGGAAGACTTTGATAGCAGATATTGTTGATAGCATGCCATTAGCTTCTCTTTTCTGTTAAAACAAACAAACAAAAAAAAACAAAAAAAAAAAAAAGAGAAAAATATTAAAATAACTTATTTTGTGGCTAAATACCTGTAAGTTCCTGGGTAAATTACCTGTTTTCTGGATAAATTTTTCTTTGTTGATGTGGCTTCCAGTGGAGGCACTTCTTTTGAAGTGTCTTTCATGAGCCTTATTCTTTAAGTTTTTTTCACCAAGCTGCTTCAGCTATATTGGAGTTTAAAAGTAACTCCTGCTGTATGTTAATGCCCTGGAGAATCGTTTTCTGCCTTTTTCTATTAGGAGCAGAAGACAGTTTAAAAGGTGTTGTTAACCTCATCTCTCTCTTTTCACAAGAGCTCCAAGCGAGAGTGGAAGCCTCTGGAGGACCACAGCTGCACAGATGTACCATGGCTGCTCTTATTCATCCTCTTCTGTGTAGGAATGGTGAGTAAAACTCAAAGGATTCTGAAGAGTTTGAATTCATTAGAAAGATGTTTTAAAACCCTTCAGTAACTCAGTCACTGAGTAAGGACAGGGTGTACTGGCATGGGAACCATCCATTGTAGAACAGAATTAGGTATTGTCTACATATGAAAGGCCTTTGGTGGAGCTCTGTAGTTCATTGTTTATGCCAGTTCTTGCTCCAGCTCCTCTTCCCCTGAAACTCCAGTTTCATTTGTAGGTGATTTTGCAGCATGGTGAGGTATCACTGCACCTTTATTCCTAATAGGATTGTGGGTGTCCCAGAAATTATAACTTTGAGTCTGGTAAACAGTTCTGTGAATCATAGTAGGAATTTTGCTGATAAGCAAAAATTTAGAATATCAAACAGTTGACTGTTTGTTTTTTTCTTGGGTGCTTAGTAGAAACACCTGCTATTAACAACCATATTACTAACTAAGATCTTTCTTTCCAAGTTATCCCAGCTTTTTCCTGTGTGATGAAACCATCACCTTTCTCAAGATAGCCTCGCAATACTGTGCACTTTGTTAAAAAAACAAACCTGCAAGATCTGTGGATTAGTGAAAACTAGAAATACACTTCTTTTCATCTGCGTTTCATGGACCTACATATGCCATTCTTCCTGAACAGAGAATGTCTGTCACCATCTTCTACTGCTGTGTTGTAAGCAGTAGCCCTTAGGAGTTTGAGACTTCTGTGCTGTCAGCTTTCTTTTCTACTGTACCTTGTTCTCTGGTCTTTGGAATTATTCCACTGAAAAATTTATTTTTCTTTCCCCAAAGTGTTTGTCATTGGCAGTGCTTCAAATGCAAAGATGATAATGTTTTGTTTAAATCATATGAATCATGTTCTCACTGCAATGTGAATATCTTAAAATCATAAAAAGACAGTACTTCCTGAAACAGGCAGCTCTTTTTTTGTAGTTGTTTTCTTGCTGCCTCTGTTCACATTCCCTGGTTACTCAGTCTGTATCTACCTGTTCCCCCAATTACAAATTAATCTGCTGTGTGTGGAGTGTCCCATATTTTCCTGTCTAAGCAATATGATACACAGAGCAATTATCTTACTGGGTCAAACACCTAGTTAGTTACTGTTCTAGGGGACTTCAGGGTCAGGTACCATGATGGGTCAGGAAGACATCTCAGCACTGCTGTAAATTAGCTTAAATGGGGGAGGAGTTGCATGATTTCCGTTACCCTCTGTGTAGGGGAAAAAAATATTGAACCAACCAAGAAGCTGAGTACTATTATATGTGTCCTTTACAAAATAGTAAGGGATCCAAGAAATTGGAAGTGAATGCTGGAAATCAGCTTTAATTATTACTTGATAGCCTTTTGCTCACTTTGCCCTTGTTTTCACTTTGAGTATTAAGTCTATAAGTGCATTAGCGCATTGGCGAGAGAAAGATAATGACCAGCTTGCTGTCTGGAATCTGTCTATAGTGATAGCCTGTCTGTCAGAAAAGGTCACTCTCCTGTATCTTCAGACCTTTTAAAACCACCCGCATTTTAACTCTTCCATGCCAACTGCATTACCTGTTGTCATCTTCTCATCTGATCCTGTCACTATCTGTGGTCCATACATTTGTCTCAGCTGTTTGTTCTGCTTCCACTTCTCAAATCTTTGCTTGCCTCATCTGTAAAAACAGTTCACTGATGGTAGTGAAGTGAGCCAATGGTTCACTTCTCCCTGTCAGTGGTGTTGCTAGAGAGCTAATGTTTCTTTTGCGCTCATCTCCTGTTCATGTAATCACTGCCTTGATACTGGTTTTGCTAGTGAAATATCTCTGAAAGTTCACAGCAAGACCTGCCTGACATTGGGTATGTCTTCACATTACTCTGAGCCATTTTGTATTCTCTTGCTCTGTGTCTGTTTCTTTTCTGTATTTGAACCCAGCATCTGGAACCATAGTGGCTTTGACCTGGTCACTTGCTTCAGAGGATTTCCTTAAAAGGAACTTACGTCAGATAGGCTTCTTCATTCTAGCTTATCTTTGAAATTACATAATTTGAAGGGGGGGGAAACCTTAAAGCAAGAAAATATGAATGGTCTGGAGTCCTCTAAGATGCATACTAACACTTGACAACTCCAGCTCTGTAGCTCTCCTTCACTGCCTGCCCTTGGCCTCCCTTCTGCTTCATGCACCACTTGCTGACAATATGACTCTCAAAAAAACACCTCCAAGATTCTTAACTATGCTTGGATAATATGCAGTGTTAGATGTCTGAATCCTCTTTTGGCTTGCATTCTGTTTTATAACTGCACAACAGTTCTCCGTGGATGGTCCTTGTCTTTCTTTTTTCTATCTGAAAGAATTTTTAAAGAACCTTTGAACCAAATGAATTAAACTGACTTTTCCCAGCTGTCAGAGTATTACTAAACTGTGCGTTTTTTTTCTCCTTCAGGGTTTTATCTGTGGCTTTTCAATAGCTACAGGAGCAGCTGCAAGACTGCTTTCAGGATATGACAGTTATGGAAACATTTGTGGACAGAAAAATGTCAAGGTGGAGGGAATAGTCAACAGTGGTCTGGACCTTACACACAAGAAGTGAGTATGTGATTCAATTGCTTCATTCTGTAAACCAGGAAAGGCGAAACCCTTCTTCCTTTGAGAGTGGTTTTCAATAAAGTGGGAAAAGGGATACTCTGACTTATTCCTACTTGTTCTTCTCCACTCTTCTCACCTAGAGAACAACAATCTTTTGTAATAACCAGCAACAGTACTTGGAGAGTGTATGTTGACAGATGTGCAATGTGAGTACATCTAAGACATTGTGGAATTTCTCTTTTTTACCATCCACTTCACGTATGATTTAGTATCAGGCCACTGAAGAATCTTGTTTGTTAGAGTTTTAGATATGACAAGTATTCTCAGATTTGGGAGCAGGCCTTTGATATCTACCTAGAAATGGTTTGCTTTTGATGCAGTATGCTCAGTTTCTACCACAGAGTTTAGGGGGGGATGGGATATATCTGACACATTAAAAGGAGACTTTAAAATTTGAACTGTAAGCAGAATATATGCAGGTGGCTTGTGGAGAAAATGCACAAAACTTTTGAGCATCACACTACTCTTGTTAAGCAGTGTGATGTTAAAACACATACTTACAGGTCAGAACCAGCACAGATATTTCCTACTTATTGTGCAGAAAAGCATCAGACTGCAGTGCCAGTACTGGAGCTGACTAATAAGGATTCTGAACTGACACACTGAAAACCTGCAAATGTCTGTTGAGATCTGTCTGCCAGTTAGTACTCAGAGTTCATCTGTACAACTTGGGTGACTTTATTCAGTCTAAGCTTAGAACAGTGGTATTAATTGACAAAAAAGATGTTTCTTTCACTGTTGATTTCTTCAAAGAACTAGAAAGTCTTTAATTTCTGAGTACGATAGCCTTTTACTTCATACTTTACTTTCAGACTAACAGAAAATCCATAATTTCCATGTATTATTTTAGAACGATGCTTTCCTAAAATCTGCTTATTCTGAGTTGCAATACTGTAAGATTTCTAAATATCTGATTTAAGACTTAATGTGGCTAGGTAATTATGTGTTACCAGAAGAATTCGAGTTAAATAAAATAGCCTGTAACATTTTACAGATTTCTTCTGTCAAAAGAATAATTTCTTAATCTAATCACATTTTACAGGAGGGTTGAAGGACTTAAAACTTACGCAGCATCATTTTCCTACCTTTTTATATAAATATTTCAGTGCTTTCTAAAATCAGGAGTATTCAATGCAAAATTGTCATTCTTGTGAGAGAAAATGCAAATCTTTAAATTATAATTTTAAGCTTACCTGTAGAAAGAAATGGTGTCTGAGTTTGTGTGAAGAAACTCAGACAACTTATTGAAAAGTAACAATTAATAGTGTAATAGTCTTCTACATGTGACAGAAATGAGGCCATCATGAGGAGAAACATCTACTGCTGCTAAGTGATTTCCTCTTGTAAAGGCAAGGTTGAAAGAGCAAATAAAAATGTAAACTATTTTTAACACAGTTAATAGGCAGAGCCTGTTGCTTGTCAAAGTCTTAATAAGGTTCAGAAGGACTGTGCTTTTCTAATAAAGGCATTGTGGCTTGAGGCATGACCTAAGCAAATGAGTGGATACACTCATATGTGATATCATCATGTCTGTTTCGTTAAACATGAGTAAAATCCTTCTACCAGGGCAGACTGTAACTGTTCACAGGGAAGTGCCTGGTACAGTCCAGCTTTGGAAGAGGCCAGTTCTTACATAAGTGAGTGATCCTTCCCACTCTCACACCATGTAGCTTTTTTAATTTGCTTGTCAATTTTTCAGAAGAAAGTACCTGCTTTGTGACTGTCTCTAGCACATGGAGGTCCTGCAGTGTCTGAGGTGGAGTCCATGGTACTATTTCATGCGATTTTATAGAAGTACTTTTTGGACAGACTGTAAAAATAAATTCTTCTTCCTGCCTGTACTTTTCAGTTTGTGTAGAGAAAGAAAGAGCTTTAAACTCTACAAATGAGGTTCTGGAAACATGAAGTTACTCTCATTTCATTATGCTTGCAGGGTAATTCTGTCTTCATTTCCCAGTCCAAGGCAGAAAAGCTAAACCACCTGTAAAAATAACATTTTATTCCATGTAAATGACAGCAACTGGTAGGCACTGTAATGAGGAAGTGAAATGGATGTGGTCTGTTTGGATATGGAAATCTGAGTGGCAGGGGTGAAGAGGAGAGTCCTCACTGGGATATGATTTGATCTGTGTGCATCAGATATGCTGAAACCAGTGAGATGAAGAAGGATTATACAGTCTGGTCTCATCAACAGTGAATCAGGCATCTTTTTATTTTTACAAAGAAAATACTGTACAGCTTTAACAAGCTGTGCCTTCAGAGCGAGACATGGGATTATAGTCTAGCTCTGGCAGTGAATTCTCGTTAAACCTATCTGCTTCGAATAAACGCCTTGCTTTTCAAGTTCTGACAGCTATAAGGGGGTTAAAAAATGACCTTTTATTTGCTTTGTCTTCCTGTTTTTGCAGGGGAAGAGGAAACTGCTGTATTTTTCGTAGGCATGTAATAGGACACTTGTATAGAACAGGTAGTAGGACACTTGTCTAGTAAGCTACCAGTCAGAAGCCAAAATTGTCGATGCTTTTTTTTTTTTAATCCTCTGGTCATTTTGAAATTACATTTCTAATTGCTTTCTCAGAAATCTGTATTTTTCTTTCAGAAGTGAAAAAAGAAACACATTGTAATGTAAGCTCAAAATGGTAGTAAAGCATAAGGAAGGTTATCCTGTAGATCTGTAAAAAAAAAAATAAAATATGCATTTTGAGAACTCTTACTGAAATTTATTTTGAATTACATGCCTCAGGACGGACAACTTGACCTTATTTTCAGAAACTGTGGCTTTTGGAAAGCTAAATAAACTCTTCCTTATTTTCCTTTATGTATAGAAAACAGCTTAAAATTAAAGAGTCATTTAAAATGTCTAGTTTTTAGTATGGCAACAGGAGGAGGACATTAAAAATTACATGCAGTTATTTTCACTCAAGTAACTTTCATCATGCAGTATTTCAGAGGTTCTTTTAACAAACTTTGATTTTTTCAGAAAAGTGGATTGTTAAGATCAAAGAATCATAGAACCATAGATGCTTTGGGTTTGAAGGGACCTTTAGAAATCATCTAGTCCGAACACTCCACCATGGTCAGGCACATCGTCAACTAAATCAGGTTGCTCAAAGTCTCCTCCAACCTGACCCTGAACATTTCCAGGGAGGGGGCAGCCACAGCTTACCTGGGTAGCCTGGTCCAGTGTCTCACCACCCTCACAAATAATTTCTTCCTAATATCTCAGTTAAATCTACCCTCTTTCAGTTTAAAATAGTTACCCTTGTCCTATCACTACAAGCCTTCATAAAAATACCTCTGCATCTTTCTTATATGCCCCCTTTAAGTACTGAGAAGTCACAATAAGGTCTCCCCAGAGTCTTCTTTTCTCTGGGCTGCACTGACCCAACCCTCAGCCTTTCTTCATATGAGAGGTCTTCCAGCCCTCTCGTTATTTTCGTGGCCCTCCCCTGGACCCGCTCCAACAGGTCCATGTTTTTTGTGTACTACAGGCCCCAGCGCTTCAGGGGGCTGTCTCACTAGAGCAGAGTAGGGGGGGACAATCACCTCCCCTTGACCTGCTGGCCACAGTTCTTTCGACGCAGCCCAGGATACAGTTGGCTTTTTGGGCTCTGGGTGCACATTGCTGGCTCTTGTCCAGTTTTTCATCCACTAGTAGCCCCCAAGTCCTTCTCTTCAGGGCTGATGCTTCATAAAGATGCATAAAGATTCTCCCTAGGTTGTAAATCTGATATACTGAATTTCCTAGAGCAAACAAATTTTCATTCTCAGTGTTGAAGCATGTCTAACAATATGATCACTTTGTTTACTTCGGTCTTTGTATTGCTGATCTATGTTACTTTCTTATCAACGAATTAGTCTAGTGTTGATTCTAAATAACTGAAATTGCAGCACAAAACATGTAAGTACATTCTTCTAATGAGTAACAAAACCTATTCTGTGGTGACACAGTATGGAATTTTCTGCAGTAAACTCACATATTTTCAATAAGTAAGCTTTAAAAACAAAAACGAAAATACCTTTTTCTCTGTAATGCTCTGCTTAGCATTTTGATTCTTGTTTCAGCTGCTAGAAATTAAAAAAAAAAAAAATCTTACTTCTGTCTTCCTAGAGCATGGATTGAAGCCACAGATTTTATAGCTTGGAGTTTGCTTTGCAGCTGCTTTATTGCTGTCAGAACTGTCTCTGAACCATGCAATGTGCTGTTTGAATTACATGTGTCTGTTTAAGGGTAACACAGGAAGCTTCTGTCAAAACTGCATATGGCACTATAGTTGCATTGTATTTCTAAATTTCTAGGCTTGAGTTAAAATTGCAGTGTTTATTTTACAAAATATTCTCATTTCTTCTGGCCATTAAAATTATAGCTTGGCCCTTCGGTTTAAATCACTGCAGAAGTGGGCTGAATTCTAGCTTGTTAATGCTGACATTCCTGCCCTGGTTTCCTTAGGTAATATGTGTTAAAGGACATTCGGAGGAGCCTCCCATCCAGCCACTGCAGCCCAGCCTAGTGCAGGCCAGGACCCAGGGTCCCTGTCTGGGCTGGAGGATGTGAATGGACAGACACACATGGGGCACTGACATAACTCGTTACGTGTACTGTCACAGTGCTGCCTTCAACAGTGCCCATAATGCAGAACTCACATCAACACAAGCACAGACAGCCACATCCCCACTTCCTCGGGGGCTCCTAGAGACAGAAGGTCAATAGTGGGGGCACACGCATGACACTTTCCAGGTTCACAGGCACACGTACATTTACGGATCCCCCAAGTACCACCACAGTCCCTTTGTCCAAATCCCAGGCCCCCTTAGCCACCCAGTGGGTCCCCCCTACTTGGCAGTTGATCCAGCTTGCTGCTCACTGTCACACTCTCACCCTGTTGACACCCACAGCTCCCCAAATACCAGCACATACCCTCTGCCCACCTGGCAGCTCTGCCTGGACCCAGAGCCTCCTACTCACCAGCTGGTACAGCTTGGAGTTTGCTGATGAGTTATACGTGTGCTCACCTGCTTTGGGGATGGTATAGATGCTCAGCCTCTGCCAACAGCCAGCACCCCACAGGCTGTGACCCACGGTCCTGCTCCAGCTACCTGTGCTGAGCTCTTCACTTCTATAGCTGCTTTTTTTGGGACATACATTGTTCCCAACCCAGTAGCTGGTAGCCAAGACCCCAGTCGCTGGCACTGAGACCCCACTCATTTTGGTAGCTGACACGACAGGCCTCAGGCACCCAAACCCCTGGTCTGACTCTAGCTGCTGGTACCAAATCCATCACATTGGTTCCCCCAGTAGCTGTCACTTAGTCTTTGCAGCATCCGTGCACATTGGATAGAGACTGAAATTATGAGGAGAGAGTTAAGAACGGATATAGTGAAAGGGTAGGACAGACTGCAGTGATCAGGTGGCAGACTTGGTCAGACCACTGTACTAACCAACACTGGTTTACACGCAATTGTCCCCTTTTAGACCCCTTTCTGTCTGTCCCTCACTTTGTTTCTCCCTGAATCCTGTCCCATGCCCATCCTCTCAGCAGCTGGCACAGTCCCACTGACCCCTCCTGCATCCTGCAGCTTTGGGTTTGCATCTTTATTAGTTGTGAAGTCCCCGCCTGCAGTTTCTTCATAGCCCATCAGTTGTTGTGATTGACTAGGTGTGTTTCTGGTTATTGTTTTCATTAACAATAATTGGTCAAGTGTTATGTCTGAGTGTCTCTCTCCTTTTCCTTATCATCACAGTCTGGGGAGGTACTTAGCCAGATATTCTTACTGAAAGAATTCTCACACTGGCACCAACTAGTGTGACTGGCCAAGTTTGGTACCATCACAGCCTCCCTTACCACATGTCCGTCAGGTTTGAATCTACAAATTCTTTTTATAGCTCCTTTGATCAGATAGCCTTAAAGGAGAAGACATTCTCCTTCCATTTACTCTTACACTACGGAATAGCAATTGTGGGAACTTGCCCTCATAAGAGGAAGCTATAATGTGAGTGTCCAGTTAAAATAAATATTGTATGTCTTGGTATCATCTCAAGAGTATTTTCTTTGAAATAAAGCAAGACTGTGGAATTCATGGTTTATTGCTCACATGCAGTTACTTTGGCTGTGTCTGTGGGACAGAATTTTTCATGTTTGTACTTGCTTCTTAGGCTTTTATGATCTATGGAGTCCCGAGATATGTATGTAGTATTTATTAAGTAAAAAAAACAGAAATAGTACTGGACAATTTTCACAGAGGTGTGGGCAAGGAAAGAGATACAAGTAGTCTATTACCATATTACAGTTGATACCGATGACATGGGTTTTGATGGACTTTCAGGAAGTAAGACAGTACTAATAATTTTTGTATGCTTAGACTGGATAATAGAACAGTCTTTCTGTGGGGGAAAGTTAGACAGCGATTGGTGTATAGGCTGAAAGTGTTCAGGCAGGACCTAAATGCTTTCTAGGAGCAGAAGGGGTTTTTATTGTTTACAGAATTAATTCCAATTGTGGGGACTGCAAAAATAGAAATAGCATTTTACATGGCAGTTTGGTGTTATTTTCCTACAATGACATTAGATAATATGAAGAGAGTATTTTAAAGCATAGTATATCTCCAGAACTGTAGGAATTTAAAAGACTTGTTCATCTTCAGAATAGAAGAACATTCTGCATCTGTATTATGTCATGAATGGACAATACTGTGGGGTTAGCATTTTGATGAAAAATGTATAGCCAGAAGATGATGCTAGCTAGTTTTAAAAACTTCACACACTGGGTTTTTAAATGACAGTGACTCATCATGGAAAGTTGGCAAATAGAATCTCTTTAAAATACTGCACTGGAACATGAGATAGTTCTACTTGAAATATCTGAACAATTTTTATTTCAAAATAAATACTGAAGTAGTCTGCTCAGTCATATGGACCAATAGTGTGGAAAATCAATATAAACAAAAAAGCTGCTATTAATTACTGGTGTTATGTGTATTCATTAAAATAGCCATGGGATTTGTCCTTTTTGCAGTATAAGTATAGATTTACGGAGTTTATTGGGTCTTTTTGGAAAAAGCTGGAAAGCTTGAAGTCAAGTTTAAGGTTGGAGTGAAGCTTTGTGAATGTTTAGACTCAAATCAGTGAAGAGGCATGGTAAAAGTGCTGCTGTTTTTATGATCAGCACCATCTGAGTGGACTTGAATCTGGTAAATGTCCTTTCTGTGTGATTCAGAAATATATAAATATGTTGAGTGCATGAATGCTTTTGATTCACACAATTATGATAATATCAAATTTCCTGTGTTTCTGGATAGACTGAAGGTAAGTCTTGGCTGAATCCTTTAGTTTGAAATTAAGGTAATTTTGTTCAGTGTAATGTTTAATTAAAATAGAAGAAATTTATCTTTTTTCTTCCCTAGGTATGTGTTCTTCTTGGATCCATGCAACATTGATCTAGTACATCAGAGGATCAAGTCTCTTGCCTTGTGTGTATCAGCTTGCCCAAGGAAAGAACTAAAAACTCTGGCTGATATTCAGATATTTGCAGAAACTAACGGTATGCAAAAAGCATGTCTGTTTTTGTTCATGTACTGGATATTTTCAGAGAATTAAAAAAAGACTTATTCATTAGCTGAGCTAAAAATGAAATATGTATTGAGAAATATCAATAGAAATAAGGTGGTATTTTTATTAAGCTAAAACTTTACTAAATCGTACAGTATTAATATGATTCTTTTCTGTTATGTTTTGGACAGTTTTGAAAGATCACTGTTAAAACAGGAGTACGAAATGTAACAAGGGAATGTCTGATTATAGGGTATGTTCTCAACTCCTGTGGAAGTGTCCTGACATGGCTGCTCAGCAGTAATGCTGTTGAAACATCCTCATATGTATGGTGTTAGCGAGAGCAACACTGCTATTGAATGACACGTACTGCACAGAATATAGCTGTGGATGTGAAAATATTCCTGCTTTCATTCAGTGCTACAGTGCAATTCCTGGGGTACTTTTCTTTTCTTACATTTTTTAAAGAAGTGCAAAGGAAACTAACCGTATTAACAAATGAAATACTGTACCCCATCTCCCCTAAGAGCAGTACTTTTTCTCTTAGTAATAATACTGATATTACTGTCTCAATTCATATTTTAACACTGTATGTAATAAAACCCATGAGAAGTAACCAACTTCTGGACCTGCCAAAAGAAAGTAAAGATCAAAACTTAATTTGAGGATATTTCAGGGCTTTTCAGCTATTCAAGTGAGAGTGTTTTATCCTAAACTTTCCTACTTACTCTTTTAAAATGCTGTGGTAAGATTTCTTTGCCAGATATTTGACTAATGATGAATCAGTCTGGCTGACCAAGTTCAAAGCAGTGTAACTGATAACTTTTCGTAGAAGGAAATGAAATGTTGATTTCTGTTCTGGTACAGGTTATGTGAATACTTCTTGTTTGAAAGCAGAGTGACTTAAAGTCACCCTAGAATACTGTTAGTGCCCTTGGGTCTCCCACTGCACTGTGCCTGTATACCTGTGTGTCTGACAGCTTGATCGGGGAGCTGAACTATCACGTAGCATCACAGCATGTGTGGAGATGCACGAACAGCTGTGCCAGCACAGTGCAGCAGGTGGTCTGTGAATGGGACCTTCCTCATGTGATCTGTGCACTGTTGCCAAATACAAGCCCACAGTGAAACTAACCAGTATCTACAGTCTTACTCTTTACCCCTTATCTGAGTGTGCTGTGTTTTTCTTAACTAATGCATGTCAGTTATTTGTCAGTGTGAAGTAAAGGTCTTTAGTAGTGGAGTTTCTTAAGTACCTCTTGAAATAATGAAATGCAGCCATGCCTTGTTTTACCACAAACACTGTTTCTATGTTTATAAGTCAAATCTCTTACTAACTGTGCCTGAAATATGTTCAGTATAACCACCTTTTAAAGTACACCAAAAACTACTCTTCTTAAAACATACTATGCTTTGTCTTCATGATTTTCCATTCTTACTGTATCTCCCTTACTGTTTTAGATTTTAAAACCTAAAGATAAAAGATTTTTTTTTTTATTATTAATATCACAGGCAATTGTTTCAGTTTACAGAAGCTTGGATGAAAGTATGAAACGTATTGCAGCAGAACAGAATCATTAATGAGTTCAATTTCTAATTTTCATTATATGATATTTGGTTTGTCAAAACCAGGTAATAACCTAAATTGAGCTTTCCTTTTGTAGATGAACTCTATGCGAGACTGGAATCACACAGTTCAGAGAAATATTGTCATCTTCATGGTTAGGTTTCTGCTTAAATGTTCACCAACCAGTGCCAGTTCCAAAAAGTGATGTTTTGCAGCAAATGAACAGCTTAAATATTGATCACCTTAAATGTTGCATATGTATAGTAAAAGTTCAAGCATGATTCAGTCTTGCAATAGAGTAAAAACAGTGAATTAGTATTAAAAATAAGTAGACAGAAACAAAACTCAGTAAGCAGAATAATTCATCTGAGAGCCACTTTGTAACTACGATAGTGGGTTTAAATTAATTAATGCTAGGATTGTGTTTGGCAGTCTATTTCAAGTGACCATAGACCCCACTGTAAAATGTATAATAAGAAAATCTGAGGACTTTGAACATGACTGCACAGAGGTTAATTACAATTTCTATGTTTGTGATGATATCTAGTTAGAATTTAGAGTTCAGCTGTCAAATTCTGAATAAGAAAGGCAAGACGTATATGTTTGGTTTCTTGTGATAATCAATTCTGCATTTTCCCAGGCTTGCAACTTCTAACACTCAACAAGAAAACCACCTTAATGTTTTAAATATATGGGTAGAGAATACAGTCAACTCTTAATTTTGTTCTGCTGAGCCTTTCTGAAAGCTTTAACCCTTCCTGCAACCTGAAAATAGCGATTGTGCTGGAGATGGGCTCTGTGTAGGTTGTTGCATGTGCATTTGAAGAGCTAGCCATTTTCACCTAGCTCACGTGCCATCCCTGAAACCACCTTACTTATCCATGCACTTTGGAATTCTTTCATAAATTACTGTTTAAGAACCCTTCAATCTGAAGAAATTCTCTGTTGTGCCTCAACACATCAAGAGGTGGTGTGGTAAGTTCAAACAAAGGTTTTTTTATTTAAACAGCTTTATCAAAAGATATAACATAGTAAAACATACTACAACATCCTTATATTGATCAATAATTTTATCAATACCACGTATGCTCTTTCAGCTAGCTTAGTATTCGTGGTATCTTTCTCAAAGTGGGACAGGCACTTGATTGCCTGTAGACAACATGACAGAACTGCTAACCCCTGAGGTTCAGAGCAGTTATGACAGAGCTCTTGCTTATTGTGTAGTACAGCTTGTATTTTTCTGTAAGCAAGATTATAAATAAGCATTTGGGGCAGGGAAAATACTTGCTTGAGGCAAGAAGATCATCTTATGACAAAGCAGCCTTTTGAATTCCTGAATCAGTAATGATGCACTTGCTATTCTGCTGTATTTTGGAAAAAGGAGCTGATTTGGTGAATAACGCTGCACTATTTCAGGACAGTAACTTCATTCTCATCCCCACCCCTCTTGTTCTCCCACAGTCAGGTCCTGCATTTGTAGTACCTTCCTATCTAAGAGAAGTCTGTCCCTCACAAAGCCTGGATAATTTTAGGAAAACATGAAAGCATGCTTTACCCTATTCAGAATAATTGACACACAGAGCACTGGGAACCAGTTGGGACCTTTTACAAGAGGAGTAAAAAGGGAAAGAAGCAGCCCTGCAGTTGAACATTCAGATCTTCAGTCTGTGCAAAGGCGCAAGGTGTAAAAACAGGAAAGTTCTGGAGCAACTCGTGGAGGTGGTGCAGAAAGGTGCACTGTTGGCTGAGAACATGTTCTGCTGCTATTCTCACACAGCAATGCTGATACTTGAGCTTGTAGAGATATGGATTGGACACAACTGAGAATGTTGTAAACTGGCTGCTGCTGGTCTCCTCAGGATTTTCTCACCCAGCAGAACACCTTAGGCAGGGAGTACTCAGGATGCAGTGTTTTTGTTGCTCTTGGCACTTAAATAATGTATTTGAGTAATGTGACTGAAAGCTGATTTTTTTCTAGAAGGCTGATTGATGCTTCAAAACTTAATGTCCATGAAATATTGCAGTGCTGTTTTCAAGGACTTGCCAAAGCATTTGGAAATATCCTTGAAGATATAATTCATATATGACTGTGCCAAATGAATAATGAAATGTCACTACTAAAAGGAAACACTAAACAGGTGGCCATAATTTCTGTCATGTTTAATTCAGTGATAACCATACTGACTGGTCATTGTGGGAACTAGTATTCGTGTTGTGTAAATGACCGGATGCAGATTTAGGAACCTAAAATGAAATTTCTATTTTATAGCATATTGGCAGCTGTGTCAGTTGTCAGAATCCAGCTAGACTTAGAGCCAGAGGTAAAGCTACATCAGGTCTGCTATGGAGACTGACCTAAAAGAAGTCAATAAAGGAAATTAGTCTGGCTAAGTTAGAGCTGGTCACCTCTCTGAGCTATGGGAAGGAACCACTGGGGGAAAAAGAAAAGATTTTTCTTTTGTCTGAAGATAATGACATATTAATGTGTAGTAATCAAAATACATCTTGGCAGTTACCATTGGTACTTGCGTTAGAAATAGCAGTTACATCGGTTGCTGCCAGCTTCTGAAATTGTTCTTCTGCTCCCATTCCCCACACACACTTTGTGTTTAGTGAAAACGTGCGAGTTAAAACTTAATCCTTTGCTCATGAATTTTCCTGAAGCCTGTTGTACCGTACTAGTTAGAGGCATCTTATGGTTAAAGAGATTCTGCACCACTAAGTCTTTGGGGACGTGAGTGTGTTAATATTGTCATTTTTTGAATGGCTGGAATGAAAGTATGCTATGACTGATTTTAAGATACGGAGTCATCCACTGCTGCTCTGCCTGTTACCAGAACTGTCCATCAGGGTTGTCTTGTGTTGGAAATGGATCCTCTAGTCAGAATGAAATTGTTTTCACAACAGAAAGCGGCTGCACGTGTAGTCCTCCAGTAATACTCTGTTGTGTTATTGATTACATTAATAAACCATTTGGGAAGGGCGAGAAACAATGAGGTAATAAATCTTGCTGCGGCTACTGAATTATTTAGAATTGCATTAAAAAAATCTGGTATCAATTGTAGTGAAATAAAATGTCAAATGGAAAGGAATGCCTACAGAGTGAAGGAGTGGGAAACAACCATTGTTATGCATTTAGTATTTCACTTCAAAATGGTTATTGCTACTTGGGAAAGAGATTGTGAGGCTACTGAGGATAGCAAGAGGATTAGGTGGTGGCACAACATTGTCTGAAAGTGTAATGTTTATTAATTTTGAAGAGAAAAAAATAAGGACTGTATTTTCTGTAAATTCATGCTCTGTTGACATCATAAAGTCTGTGTTCCAGTCCTTCCTTGACAGTGTTTTCTTAATTTTTTTTAACCTTATACACACACACATATATGTATATTCCCAGTATGTGTACACATACTGAGAAGGGAAAC